GTTCTCTCGCGAAGGAGAGCCCAGCGTACCCTCCAGTCGAGCTCCTGATACGGACAGTCTGGAGGGGAGATGGCACGATTGTGCGCCCGAATGAGGTGCTTTTTGCGCGTTCCACCCTAATCGGGAGGGACGTGCCGTTCAAAGTTTTCAAGCGTTGGGCACTGCGTGACCGAACGCCTATGGGGCCTTTGCTTAGGCCGATGGGAGCAGCGGAGGTCCCTTATACGGGATACGTGCTGCTGACGATGGCCGAGTATCGGTCCGCCCTCAAAACGAGGTGCATCCGGAGGCCCGGCAAATTCGCCATCACAGTTTTCCCCATGCGACCTGAGCAGGTCTGCAGGGGGGAAATCATGATTGGGTTGGAGGGCGCAAAGGTGCCTCTCCTCAAGTTGCCAAGCCCCAATAATGAGGGCGAATTTTATGTTGACGATCGCGTCAAATACATGGACAAGCGCCATGTCGTTGTGGCCGTTGACCTAAAGTGGATGGCCATCGAGGAAGCCGCCGGCATCTATAAAACCCGACGCGGTTTGATTGCTGTGCGAGAGGAGATACATGCGCCCTTCTGGCGCGCATGCTATCTGCACCAGGAAGGGGATGTGATATACATCCGTCCCTGGGCGGTCCGAGAGGTCCAGGGACCGCGGAGAGGGGTGTCATTTTCATGGGACAAAGCTCCCATGCATGACTATTGGTGCCCTCGGTGCGCGCATTTGAACATGTATGGCACCATTCTATGCAATGGTTGCCATCTGCCGATTTTCTAGCGAGAGTGGGTGCCAGGCACCATCCGCTCCCAAGTTAGGAGAGGGCAGCCAGTCTGGTTGGACGGACTCAAGGCAGTCCGTGCCAACAGCTGGTATGAAGGGGAGACTGACGTGTGGGCTCCTCTCATGGCGTCGGTAAACCCGATCCGCGAGGTGGTCAGCTGTATGATCTCCGGTTTGCGCTGTGCGCCTCACCTTGTGCACAATCCCAATGCGGATACCGTGCAGGTTGCGTTTCAGGAGGTTGTGAAAGTCACCTCAAAGGACACCCACGCTTGTGTGCGTGCGAGTGACGAGGCTCTCGAACGGTGGGTGGCGAAGCAGCTGCTCATCGAGGAGAGCAATACTGGCGTCCCAATTCCCGACAATATGTCTGTCATGACATATTTGGTCGAGCACCCGCAACAGGCGGCGCAATGGGGTCGTCATATGACGAGAAAGGGTAGTCTAAATTCAGCATTTGCTCTTTACCTCTCTGTGCATATTTATGATGCCTACCGCATCGGAATTGAGGACGGATATTTGGTTCCGCTGTATGGCCTAGGCGCCTCACGTGCGGACATCATAATGTCATTGGTACAGGCAGAGCGACGCCTCTCGGACTTCAATAGTGAGGACCCAAGTTTTGATGCCTCCACAGTTCTCGATTTGAGCATCGACTCTCTGCGGGCCGGTGGTGGATCCATCACGGCCCCGATTGAGTATGCTGAGGCATACATTTATGTCGAGAACAACAAGGTTGACATGGTCCCCGCTGCACAGCGCGACGGCCAAAGCGCCATTGTTTTTGCTGACCCGCCGACTGGGAAGCACCATAGGCGGGCAGCCACTCCTAGGGGAGATCATCGGTCTGCTACCCCACGACCTGAATCCAGGTCAAAGGGGGATCAGCAAAAGGGCAAAGCCCCTGCGCAATCCTGGCCCAAGGGTGGAGGTCAAAAGGGTGACCAGTTTCCAGGAAAGGGTCACAAGGGTGATCAGTACAAAGGCAAGGGTGGCCAATACGGCTACCAACAAGGGCAGTTCGGTCGTGGCGGATCCGCCAGATCGAGAACTCCCACTGGCGGGTATCAGCCTGATACTCGCGGGTCGGGATACAAGGGTGCACAGGCTGCCCCTTTCCCGTTCCCGAGTCCGATGTATCCCACTTTCCCAATGGGAGGATACATGCATCAGCCCATGGCTGGCATGATGCCACAAATGTGGCCTGGCGCAATGCCGCAGGGTTGGCAGCCGCATATGCAGGGTGATCCCCGCGAGTTCGAGAATCCGAACTCGCCGCATACTACATGGGGTGACGATGACGAGTTGGCCGAGACAGTGCCTCCTCCCCCTGGGGACTGGAATGTCAGCAAGGGGAAGGGACGGCACGGCGGCGGACGACATCGGTAATACCTGAAGTCTGTCTGTGTGTTTTGCGTAGCTGCGCCAACGCGCGCATGCTTTCATTTCGGAATTCACAAGATGGACTATGCTCCTTGTCGTATTTCGTTGTCTAGGCTATTCGCCATTTCAGAATTCATCTGCACGCGTGGCTGTGCGCTATTCGCGCAAGCTGCGATTACCTGTCAGGTGTGCGTCGCCACAGCAAGGCAGTCACCCTCGGTGGCGTCTATGGCCGCTGGTGGTCTGCACCCTCCTGCACCGCTGCTGCTGCTGGATGGTGCTCGTCAAGGTGCCGAGGTGAGGATCACGGATGCCCCGCACCGCTGCCGGTGGTGTCCTACTCGGACCTAGACCGCGGATCGCTGCTGGTGGTATCCATGGCGATTGTCCTCGAATGATCGCGCGCCTAGACGGTGCTAATTTATCACCAAGGCTCATTGGTCTACGCACCATGTTTCAACCGACTGGCCAATGCGCCTAATTTGATAATTAAAATTAAATCCACTTGAATCGAATGGTTCAATGTGGTTGCAACGCAAATGACAGTTCTTTGGCTTCATGCCGGCCATTCCGAAGTTGATCCTTTGTTCTTTTCTTTTGTTGCTTTCTCTTGTTTGATTTGGCTACCGGTGCGAATCCGCCTCATACCCGTAATTCGGGGTGGTGGCGGGATCCGGGCACCAATGAGTGCCCGGGTATGGGGTCGCGAACCCTGGTAGCCTAATCGGCTTTGTTTGTCTTGTTTGTTGCATTTCAACTTCAATATGGCCAATGCGCCTTTCCAAATTCACTCCTTCTCTTTGTACAGGCGAGGGGGGTGTTTTTGGGGGCATGTAGTTTTATCGCAACATGTTTCAACGCCACGGCCAATGCGCCGTTTGGCTCAAGCTTTTCACTCGGCAACCGTTTCTCGCCATTTCGTCGGAAAGAGTCCGCGGCGCTCCACACGCCGGCTGCGCGGTGCCGCAGCCGTCGTTGCCGGGGCGGTGGTCTTGGTCCCGGAGGTGGGTCGGGTTTTGGTTGGAGTGCGCTGCTATTGCTTGCTTTGCTCGCTTGGTGCTGCTTGCTGCTGGTTTGCTTGCCTGCTTTGCGCTGTGCTGCGCTTCTGCTTGGTTCCTTCTTGTTACAACGAGGCACCCCTTTTGGTTCGTGTTAGTGCCGGCCGGGGGCAACTGCTTTGCCCTTGGGACCGGGGGGATAAGGTGGTCTCTTCTTGTTGGTGGGTTAGGGCCTGTTTTATCCATCCCGAAACTCTGTTTCAAACCCTTTCGCGCAAACAAACGCTCGATTTTTTGCTTCGTGAATGCCTGGAACGCAAAAACAACAAACAACCTCGAGCCTTTTGTTGCTGAACAGCCAACAAATGCGGGACAACCACATCAAACACACCTCAAGAAAACCAAAATAAGAGCGTTTGGCAAAAATACCTGAGAGAAAACCAACAACAAATCCCCGAGGAAAAACAACAAGACTTTCGGCAAAACCAAAACTCCTTCTCACAGTTTTCGTGTTTTGGCTGTCTCTTTTTGTTTTTCTTTTCGGGTTTCCCGCATTTTCTTGCCTTTTTGGGCTGTCCCTCTAAAAGCCAAAGAAGCTGAGGGAAAAATCAGAAACCCACCACCCCCGAGAATTGTTGGAAATTATGAAACTAATGGAAGCCAGAAACAAGAAAAGACTGGAGAAAATCCCAAAACACACCACATCCAAAACCCTTCCTCATAGCAGTACTATTGTGGTTTGGTTGTTGAATGTACTTCGCCATCAGCAGATTGCACAGTAACTTTCAGTTGCCTCCCGTCTAACATAGATTGATCTATCAAAGCATGGGTTGCCTTTCAGGACCCCACCAATTTTGGAAGATCATTTGAGAATTGCTCTCGTTCCAATGCGCAGCGAAAATGCTGTGGCTGGAAGCGGAAGATTCGTGCGCACTGACACGGGCGAACTTACAGAGAATGTCTACACAAACAGAGAAGAACACATGCCCACCTTCAAAGTAACACATGTAAACTTAAGACATCCCAGTTGCGCAAGCAAGTTGCTACCACGACACAGCGAAATACTGCAAAAAGAGCGAACTACGAAGCAGACGTTGTCCCATATTGACAGTCCACATGGGCCAAGTTCCACAAAATGGAAGGTGTTGGGGGATGCTCAACAGCCAGGCCACATCGCTTAAGGAGGCGCAGCCTGGTTGTGCTACTTGTCCTGTAGAGCATCGTCCGCAAACCGTACCCTTTACTTCATATGAAGCGCACGGGAGAGAGTAGTCCGAAGCAGTTTTCAAGAGTGCAAGAGCTGTTCTTGCGCACGGTTCATGACGAGGCAGCGACGAGGAAGTGACGCGGCCGCGACGAGGAAGTGACGCGGCAGCGACGAGGAAGTGACGAGGAAGTGACATGGAAGCAACGAGGAAGTGACAAGGAAGCGACAAGCGACAAGGAAGTCATGAATACGCGACAAGGAAGTGACAAGGAAATATATCGATGCCAGCAAATGAGCTTCGTTAGGGCTGTTTGCCCGCGAGAGCACAGGCTTGGGGAGGTGGCTCCGAAGCTGTTTTTGAAAGGTATACTTATTGTTTGTGCTGAAAGATAGCTCATGTCGAGAAAACGCAGTGGAACGCAGGTGCTGAGAGGAAGTTGCTGCAAATGGATGGTAACAGATGAGCAGATGTTGAAGATGACGCAGATTTGCAAAGGTGGAAGATGGCAAATGAGCAGATGCGCGAAGGCCTTGAATGGTAGCAGATGGGTAGTTTTTCGTAGATTGAAGATGCAGAGAGGCTTCAGTCAAAATATGGACGAGATCCTCGGCTGGCTGCTCATATGTCCGGTCGCTCAGGCCTGAGCTGCATGGGGGCCTGGAACTGCACCGAGTGTGAGGAGGGCTTCGTGCGGGTGCAGGCCCGACACACGTAAGGCAACCAAGAGGTAAGGCTGTTCATCATTTTGAAGCAACCTCTCGGCGCTGTGCCGTTTGGTGCCACTTCTCATGCACGTCCACCACCATGCCGCCATCCCTGTCGGGCCACCCTATGAAGCGCCAAGGTTTGCCACACAGGATTCCGAACGAGTGTCCCAAGCAGCAGCACGTTCAAGTTGTTTCGATTTCTGGTTTGGACACATACCCACTTGCCACCTGTTGCCCCGTGTTCCGACAGATCGTGAAAATTCGGGTCCTCCTTCAAAACATACCTTACTTTGGTCCAGGCTTTAAAGACTTTCAAGAAGTTGACGGGAAGCCAAGCCACCCCCCCAACCCCGCCTCCAAGGAGGAGGATGACGGGGGCAGCTGGAGCTGCCAGAGCTGCGGGCCAGCGTGCCATTCCTGCAGCAAAATCGACGCATGCGACGTGTGCCAGGCTCTGGGCCTTTGGTGCTTGGTTGCTTGGTTGGTTTGTTGGTTGGCTGGTTGGTTGGTTGGTTGGTTGGTTGGTTGGTTGGTTGGTTGGTTGGTTGGTTGGTTGGTTGGTTGTTGTTTTGTTTTGTTTTGTTTTGTTTTGTTTTGTTTTGTTTTGTTTGGTTGCTTGCTTGTTTGTTTGTTTGTTTATATATAGATATTGAAGGAGTTTTGAAATGAGTTTTGCAGGAAGGTGTGAACCCCAGTTGAAATGCGCGAATGACGCACACCCTTTTACATGTGCAAGGAAAAGAGCAGCTTGAAAATTCTCTTTAGAAGCTCCTGATGATGAGTCTTCATCCAGACGAGGTCTCTAACTTGGTGGCAATCAGTAGACCTCTAAAACGTAGCTCGTGGCTCTCCAAAACGCCAAACCCCCCTCCCTCCGAACAGGCCCCAGCCGATCCCGATGGTGCAAGGCGGGTTTCACGCAGCAGAGCGGGGTCTGCAAGCCCTGTGGCTCGTTCTGCAACAAGTGCGACAAAGCCGGCGCGCCTTGGAGGCACTGCGCTTCTCTTTTCGCTGTTTTCTGCAATCTTTTTCCGCAGTCGTCTTTTGGCGCAGCTGCTTGTGTTCATCTTGTTCAACTGACAGCTGGACACCTGTGATTGCTTGGCAATGTGTAAGTCGTAAAACATTGCCAGAGTATGTGATCCAAAACCAGACGAATCTAGGTCTCGTTTGGGTATGTGTTTTTCAGGTACTCGGGAGTACCCCGTGCGGGGAGCCAACCAAGAGGCCAATCTTCGTTGGGAGAAAGTCACTTTCGGATTTACACAGGAACGAAACCAGGCAGGTAAACCTAAAGGGACACAAACAAACCCTGATAAGTTAACAAAAACACACACACACACACAGGCAGCAGGAAACTAAGCAAGGGGAACGAAACAACACGCGCCTCAGGCCAACGGCTGTGACGAGGGCGGCTGCGCCCCCGGCTATGGTCTGCAGAGGTTGAGGCCAAGACCAAGTTTTGGTCACGTGTTGCTTTTGTTGCCTTCTTGTTTCATTTGGTCTCTTTTTTTTTTGCCTCGTTTTGGGTACTTGTTTGCTCCTGTTGGGTGTGTTTGTGGTTCCCTTTGCTGCATGTTGGTTCTGTTTAGGGTCTTTTGTGTTGCAGCTTTGACATCTTTTTGGTTCCTCTGACATTTTCAAGTTTATGTTTGGTCTCTTTGGTTCAATAAGCATCCTTGAAAAGCACAGTGCATAGACTATAAAAAAGTGAATTAAGATGACGGACGCAGATAGACACTAACAAGTATCAGGGCATGATTGAATGAAGGACATGAAAGCTACGGCAGGCTAAGAATTGAACCAGATAGGAGGACACAAATCCTGATTCAAGAATTCACATAATTTGGTTTCTTCTTCACACACCAATAAATCCGTAGAAGCGCAGCCAGGGAAAGGCAGGAATCGCAGCAATAGTTTTGTCGGTTGCACTGATACAGAGAGAGTGCGCACGAGAATGTGAGCAACAGACTCGAAGACCCAACATGTTCTCCATCGAATATGATTCCAGAAGCGAGAACTTTTAGCTGCTCAAGAAGGGGTACCATTAACATTGTTCTTTTGTTCCTCTTGTGGAATGTATGCACAAGTTAAATCTACGTTGTTTAGATTGCAGTTACAACATCACATGTCTCATGTAATCAACGCCCTCCCCCCCGCCTCTGCTTCGGCGCCAGAATCTTCAGCGACAGCTGTCAGCCCTGCCTGGCTCCCAACTGCGAGACCTGTGCCAAGAAGCGCGATATCTGCGACTCGGATCGCCCAAAGGACACCCCCCAAGGTGGTTGAGACCGCGCTTCAACAGGTGGCTTGTGCAAGTGTTTGGTGTTTGGTGAACGAAGCGCGGGAAAGTAAACGTGTCCCGGTCTTCAAGCCTCGCAATCTGGGCAACCAGGGGAAGCCGCAATTTGGGGTACTGCGAGGGGGAACCGGGCGCTTGGAAGGGCGGTTTTGATGAAAGGAGAAACATGTTCACGTGATCATTCCTTTTCCACAAGTGTTGCCACACGGCCACTTGGCTCAAGCATTCAACCTCCCGTTAGTGAACTTCTGGCGTCACGTGCGGAAGCCATACAACGGCAGCCGCCCACATCATTGACAGAACCATGGTGCTGAGGGCTGCTGGTTGTAGGGTGGTATCCGGTGGCGCGGCAGGGTTCCCTGAGCCTGGTTGTGCGCTTTTACTTCTTCAGCCTGTTTTTTACCAACTCCCAACTCCACGTCTTCACGCCTTCGACCTGGGCATCACACTGCTTCGGGCTTTTCGTTCCCCGCACTATATTTGTTTTGCCCAAAACCGCAGGTTCTCAGTCGTGACAGCATAAAGCTGTGGCTGTTCGTGGGTCGTGACCCGCCACGTGCTCCCCATTGCCTCGCGTTCTACGAATGGCTTCATCATGGGCCGGGGCGCAAGCGAGGACCGCGTTGGCGCGCATTTCAAGCCCACGAACCGCCCATCCCTCTGATGCGGCTGCTCCCAGGCCATCTTTGTGTGTACTTCGAGCCGCAGTTCTTCAGGTAGAGGATGGTCTCCCATTTGAAGAGGTTCAGGACCCTCTAATCCAGGTACCCGGGCTGTTTTCGCATTCCAAAGCAAGCAGCGCAGGCTGGATCTGAGCAACCGTGGTCCCTTGCTTGGGATCTGGTCGATGGTTCATGGGACCTTCTTGCAGGAGTTCCTGAGATGTCGCGTAACACGCCGGCAACCTGGCAAAGGGGAGGCTGAGGATTGACACAGGACCGCCCACGGTGGGCGTAGACGCGATGACGGGATAGGCGAAATCAGGGCCGTTTTCCCGGAAAGGGCCGTGGAGGCAAGGGTGAAGGCCGCCGTCGTAGAGACGAGCGCGGCGCGAGCGGGACGAATCTGAGCCACTTGATCCTGAAGATCGAGCTCCCTACTACGATGATCGCCGCTGTGACCCACGCGATGGCCGCTACCCGTGGTGGACGGCGTGATCCGCCTCGCGGTTGTGATGGCCTTGTTGGTGGCCGAGACCGTGCGACGAGCGTGATCGGCGCCCTGACGATCGACGTCAGAGGTCTGATCCTCCTGCTCCGCGCAGAGACGGAGGTGACCGCCGCAGAGGCGGTTCCCCGCGCGACTGACGGCCAGATAGGCCGGCGAGTCAGGGCAACAGGTAGTTGCACAACCTCTACGCGCGCTCAACCAGAAAGGTTTCGAGCTTGTGCCATTTTCACGGCTGGTCTGCTGAGGCGTGGTGATTTAATGGATCTGCCTATTTTGGGTTTTGAGCTCACCCATCTCACCGGAATATTTGTCACCGTAATATTGGTCATTTGCTTGAGACGTGGGATCCCCTATTTCAGGTTTTGGAGTTATTGTAGAAGTTATAGATGAAGTCCCGCATCTGAAAGCCCAACGGACACTGTTTCCAGCCCGCGAACGATGTCTTGATTCCACATTTTTTTGAGGTGCCTCCCCAAACCCAGGATGGACCTTTGGACCTTGGATGTTTGGGCCAAACCGTCAAGATACGAATGCAAGCGAGAGCATATCAACACAACCATCGAATTGTTGGCTCGGATTGAAGAAAGCATGGAACCTACAACCAGACAAATGAATGGTTTTCGAATTCCGCCCCCCATTGCCTGCAGAACAACCATTGCTGGATGTATCGGTCAGCCTTGGTGGAGTGTGTTGCCTTCAGCCAAGGAAGGATATTGAACATGCGCGTGCTTCGGACCCACAAGACCCTGAAAATCCTGGAAGGGTTTGGTTGCTTCATGTGGCCAAGTCACACTTCCTGCCTGCATTCCTCAGGTGAGCTATGTAAGAAGGACCTCGGCGAGTTGCGCGAGTTGCGCGAGTTGCAGCTTGATGTCGAAAGCCCATCTCAGCCACTAGGTCACCGGAACGTGAATTTTAAGTTTCTTGTTGAGCGGGCAGACTGCTGGCACTTGCTGGCTGACTGCATAGACTCCCTTGGCCTTTGGCCTTCAGCCTGCATGTTGCATTTGAACAGGCATCTGCAATGGTTTTCTTTGGGCGATGGACATGTTTTTAGGTATACGAAGGCAGCGAATCAACCGTTTGAACCCTTTTGTTTTCCCCTGGTCCATTTTTGGCCAAGGTTGCTAAAGACTTGAAGTATTGAAGGACACCAACTGGCTAAATCACAAGATCGGCGGAAACAATTACAACGCAAGTCTACCCCCCTTCCCCCATCCAAACCCCACCCCACCCCGGAAACCCTGACCCCCACCGAAAACCCGCAAAAAACAGAAACAACAGCAGCAACACCTTCCTCCCTGAATTCAGAAAGGACCACCCGAAAAACTCGCGGCGAAGCCCAAGCCCCGCAACCTGCAGCCTCCCCCAACCTCCGACCATCCGAGCCTCCGATCCAGGACTTTGGGCTGACCTCTGCGGGTCGCTGCGCGGTGTGCGGCCAGGGCTGCAAGAGCTGCAAGCCGCTCGGCCGCGCGCTGGCTTCAGCTTTCGAATGCGGAGACAAACAGGTAATCTAGGCGGGCAACCAAGAAAACAATGACTGAAAGACTGAAGTTGAACGGTTTTGTAGTCATTTGCTTTGGTGGAGGTCCTGGAACCCTTATTGGCTGGGTCTTTCTTGCAAATCAAGCATGTTTGGCGGTTTCCCTCTCTTTTTCAAGCTTGGGGTTTCCCACGAACTCAGCCATGTTTGAGTTCAAACAATCTTGCAGGGCTGACAAAGGGCTGGTTGCAAATAAGGATGGCCGGGAAGTGCGACGAGTGTGCCTCGACGAAGGGATTTGGAGGGGGCCGGGGTTTGACTTTCTCTGAAGCTTGTGCTTTGGCTGGTTGACTTGTTGAGAGGCGATGTGCGGTGTTACTTCTTAGTTCTCCCCTCTTTTCATTGTGTAATCAATGATTGGGAATCTTGGATGAAAGTCGCTTGAATCTTTCTGATGGGATATACGAGGTGCATCCCAAACATCATCTTTAATTTTGGCCCCATTGGACTCTGGCTCTTAGCTACGCCGGAATACCTGAACATTGCAAGTTGGAGGGGACAGCTTTTTGCTGCATTTTAACAGGGTTTTGCGGTTGGATGTGGTTGGTTCACTTGCAATATCGAAGGCATCTGGGGAAGATGTATCCTACATGCCGAGCTGGAAGGTTCCCACATGACGCAAACTTGCGGTACCCGGGTGCCGAATTTTGGCTTCGACGGTGGCCCCTTTCTTTGCCTTGCTTGCCGTTCTTAGTTTCATCGCGTTTGATTTGGTTTGTTCCAATCCTCTCCAACCTCTCCCTCCCCTGCGGACACCGGAGAAAAAAGACATCATTTCCAAACAAAAGAGCAAGAAGGGGAAGGAGCACAAAAGGGGCGAACACGCGGCAACATCACAACTCAACTGACCATGGTAACCAACAGGTGAGGTTCAAACCGTCCAAAGAGGGCGCTATACTGGACAGATCAAACTGATCCCTTGCCAACAAAAAAACAGCTTTGTCATCGCGGTGGTTGCAAACTGCAAACTGCCATTACCCGACTAAAGGTTGCTTTCCCTCAACCTACCCTCGTACCTTAGACTGGGAGTGACCACGACACGAATCGTGGAATCACGGGGCTGCTTTTGGCTTGTTGCTTCCCTGGCAAGGTTGTGCCCAGTGCCAACCATGCGTTTAAAGATGTTCAAGCCACCGTTGCTTTGAAATCGTCAAGAAGGATTCCATTCATGAAGTCGGGTTCCATCATCCAACTTGCTGAAGGTCGATCTCCCATTCTTTTCCCCACCGTCCTTTTGCCGATTCTCTGAAAAGAAGGATCCCTAGAAAGGATGATCATCAAAGTTAAAGTTAGGGAGGGGTTTTGGCCTGAGAGGGCATGTTGTCGCATGGGGTAAGCTGCCCGGATCGTTTGGATCAAGGCCCCGGCGTTGGTATTTGGCACCTGCGTGTAGTTCTGCGCCACCTTGGGGGTGATCCACCGGCGTCCAGATTGGAAGGCTTGGTGGCTGCACGTCGCTGGCTTCCTTGGCCTTCGCCCCCCCTGTGCGCTCCCTTTGCCACTACCCTTCCGCCTTTCTTCATGGTGAGCCCTCTCCGGGAACGCCGTTGCATGTAGAGAGCCTCCAGGCATGCCTAAAATGCTCCCCGCAGGGCTTGTCGGCCCGGCAGCTTTGGCACGGCGCGTGGCCTACGAAGCACCGAGCTCCTCGCTCTCGCAGGTCTCGCCCTTCTCCAAGTCCATCCCGGCAGCTCGCTCTGTCCGCTCTGCTCGTCTCGAGTGACTTTTGGTTCTAAGAAGACAAAGGTTCGTATGGGATGTACCACCTGGTTAAACCAGGTACCAAGCAGTTAGTGCAACCACTGTAGGTGACGATGGCTTCATCCTCCAGGACCAGCGGTGTTTGGCGTGCTCGGACCGCTGCCTCCGATGTTCCGCCCCCGGGAAGTGCGACGAGGGCGGCTGCGAGAAGGCGGCTCCTGTGTTTTGGGGAAGCCATTTGGGATGTTTCCCATGTTTTCTGGAGGGTATTTTTTGTCAGGGACACCAAATCAAACTCCTCATTTTTTTGAGGGCCCTGTTTTGACACACGCACACACACGCACACACACATTTTTCCCTATGGGTTTGAAGCGAGCCCTATTTTCCTTTCTCTGTAAACCGCCGTTTGGTATTTGGTTGCATGTCAGGTTGAGGTTGGCCTTCAAACTTGTTCTTTTCTTCAGAGACCTCCCAGAAGCGGGCACGGGGTGGTCAAACAAAAGTCAACCCCGGCTTGAAAGTTGCACCCGGTTAGTGAGTCAGTGAGTAGGTGGAACATCCAAGCCGGCCCTGCCTCCTCGCTGCCCCTGCCCCCTATTCAGCTCAGTTTTCCCAGCTTGGCAACAATTCAACTCCCACCAGCCAGCACGAGACTCACTTCCTCCAGTCCTTTGTGGTGCTTGTGCTTGTAGGAGGCTCCATGGCCAATGCCATGCCTCAGACTCACATGCGAAATTCGCATAAACCCCGATCTGTGCAGCTTGGGGGGCAGTAGGCTGCACAAAAGCTCATGGTTGTGCAAAGTCCTTGTGTGCAGTACGGGGTACACCACCACACACCTCATCCCACTCCATTCCACCTCCTGACGCTCATTTTTCAATCAATGCGGTTCCTCTAGCTGCACGACAGTTTGTTGATGGTGTTTGGTTAATTTCCTGTAGAGTCTCGAGCTGGTTTCTTTGGGACATTTGCTGAATTACTTTCAGCCGCGTCCCTTTGCCCGAAGCCAGGGCTGGACGGTTTCTCGGCAGAGATCGCGCGGGTGGTGGGGGGGTGGGAGGTGTCTGGTTTGATATGCGGGGTTGTGAGGAGCTGGAACCATTCCTGGTGAGTTTCGGATTTGAGGGTTTTGCAGTGTTGCGCAAAACACAGGTGTTCAGGGCGCAACGCTTTGGCTTTTTTCATTGCCGCCTCTTCACTGTAGAACAAAGGCTTCTGTAGAAGCCACTTTTTTGTGGCCGCCTGATGGACCCAAGCAACGTCATGGCCTTTCCTGAAAGCGTCTGGTCTGTGTTTGAGCTCTTGCTGGAGGGGTTCTTGGGTAGCTGTGGGTGTCTTTTTTGGGCCCTGTTGGTTTGAAAGGAAGCCAGAAGGAAACTAGCCCATGCGCCCAAACGGGTTGGACCCGTTTGGGAACCATTTAAAAAGGACTTCATGAATCCAAGCAAAAGGGGTCAAGCAAAAGGGGATGTTTCCGTTTTTGTATCCTTTTGCCACAGCGCCTTTGTTGGACGCTTTCAGCATGTGACCCACAAAGCGGGGGTGTGGGTCAAAATCGGAGGAAACCAGCCACTTGGCGTTGCCTATGACATGTGGTTTGACTAGAGAGGGCCAGCTTGCTTGGGACTCCCTTGACACGTGGCGCATCATGACACACATGACACCAGGGTTTAAAAGGTACGCCTCTGTTTGCCACCCAAACCAAGCATGGCCTTGGCTTGACAGAATTGAAAGAGTCTTCTCCAAATCTACCTCGGTTTTCGCGCCCAACCACGCTTGATTCTTGTCTATATTAATGAACCGTATAATACCAAAGCACAAACATCCCTGAAATGACGCACACACACACACATCCTCTCTCTCTCTCTCTCTCTCTCTCTCTCTTTCTTTCCCCTCTCTCCCTCCCTCTTTCCCTCCCTCCCTCCCTCCTCTCTCTCTCTCTCTTTCTCTTTTTCTTTCTCTTTCTCTTTCTCTTTCTCTTTCTCTTTCTCTTTCTCTTTCTCTTTCTCTTTCTCTTTCTCTTTCTCTTTCTCTTTCTCTTTCTCTTTCTCTTTCTCTTTCTCTTTCTCTTTCTCTTTCTCTCTCTCTCGATTGCTCTGCATGCTGGGATGGGATGGGAGAACAACTTGTTTTGTCCTAATATGTCGCGGCCTAAACCAAGCCAAACAAGCCTAACTTAACGCCGGCGGCTCAGCCCGCCGACATTGCAGGCCTGCCGTCTTATATGTGTCGTACAGGTACAGTGCATCATTCTGAATTCCCCCATGATGAACGCGATTATATATATATATATATATACACATATGACATACTATTCACTTAGAAAAAATATCATGATGCATTCTGGCACTCTTTGTTCCAGCACAGGCAACACTGAAACGCGAGGAAGAACATTTCTCTTCATGCCCCCTCATTTCTCCTCCATGTTCCTCTTCATTTCCCCTTCATTTCTCCTTCATTTCCCCTTCATTTCCTCTTCATTTCCCCTTCAGTTCCCCTTCATTTCCCCTTCATTTCTCTCCATGTCCCATCCCTTTCTGTCCCCTTCATTTCCAATCCCTTGTTTGCACTCTCATTCCCCTTCATTTCCCATGTCCCTTCATGTCACCTTCAGGTTCCCCCTTCATTTCCCCTCATGTTTCCCCATCATGTTCCCCTTCATGTCCCTTTATATTTTTCCATTCATGATCTAATTATTTCCCCTTCATTGACTGTCATGTCCCCTTCAGCTCCCTTCATTCCCCTTCATGCTCGTTTCATTCCCCTTTCATTTCCCCTTCATGTGTCCCTTTATTGTCCCTTCATTTCCCTTTTATTCCCACTTCAATTCTCTTTATTTCCTTCATGCCCCCTTCATGTCCCCTTCATTTCCAATATATTCCCTCCATTTCCTTTCATGTCCCCTTCACGTCCCTTCATTTTCCCCCCTCATTTCCCTTCATTTCCCCTCGATTACTTTCTCTCATGTCTCTCATTTCCCTTCATTTTCCTTGTAGTGTCCCTTCATTTCAAACTAGCCTCCTTTTCATTATTCTTGATTTACAATCTCTTTATTTCCCCGCGATTTGATCTTGTTTTTTCTTTTCCTAATATATATATACATACATTTCTTTTTCATATCCCCTTCATTATTTTCCCTCATGCCCCTCATTTCGCTTGGTTGTCCTTGTGGTGTCGCTTTCATTTCAAACTAGTTTCCTTCTCAGATTTCCAATCCGTTTATTTCCCCGTCATTTCCTCCTGCTTTTTTGGATGTCTCTTTCATCTCCCCTTCATTTCCCCTTTGTTTCTCCTTCCCAGTTCATTTTCCTTTCATTTCCCGTTCATTTCTCTGCATTTTTCCAGGAATGTCATTGAGCCAATGCTGGTGGTGCTGGTGATGTTGCACGGATGCAAAAGGGGATGTTGAGCTGTCCCGCTTCGTGACCCTGGGAGCAGGTAAGCATGTCTTATGCCCAGCACGCCGTCTGGTCTGTCCGCCTAAACCGACCCGACCCCCAACCTAAACTCACTTGCCAAAAGGACCTGAAGATTAAAAAACAATAACATAATAAAAATAGCCCGCCTGGCCCCGAGTCGATGTCCCGAACCTGAACCCTGGCGTGAACTGTATAGCTTGAGCCACCTAAGCCCTATTGAGCCCCAAGCCGAGACCCGAAAACTGCAACCCTAAACCTACAGACTCAATGTGAGCCCTGAACCCACCGAACCCTAAACCAAGACAAAACCCTACACCCTGACTGAACCAATGCCGAAACTTGAAATGTGAACCCTGAACTTAAACCGTACGCCCTAAACTTAAACGACCACCTTGTTTGCTCCCAGCACGTGCGCGGTATCACAGCGCCACGCTCACAAGCTCTGCTTCCTCAGTACTCAAGAGCCTGGACGCGGCATGGGGGTTCCCTTAGGAAAGATCAGACAGGCTGCGCTTTTTTTGGGAAAGAGATCAAAGAGGGATCCTCCAAAGACAATTCAGAGGGATCCTTGAGAGTGGGTTGGTTTCCGGGAGCTAAAAAGTGTACTCACACCCAACAAAGGATCTGGGGTTTCGTCTCCGGTCTGTGGCCCCCAGGCTGTGGCGGCACCCTGGACTGAGGCAAGACTGCGTTTTGGGGATTGACGGACTAACACCCCGTTTCAAGCGTTTCAGGTGTGGATCCAAAGATCCAACACTTGTAAGTCTTCCTGACACTTGTGAGTGCTGGATGTGAGTCAGTACATGGAGCTGCGCACTTGGTCTGGGAGCTGGTCTTAGCCAGCTCCCCTGGCCCCGAAAGCCGCCAGCGGGGCGTTTCAACTGCAGTTGAACTGCTTTCCCAATTTTGGGGCCATGCACTTTCAGACTTTTCGTCAAGAATCCACTCAGATTTCCCAAATTTGAGCGGTTTTGGACTGTGCGTAGCAGTTTTTCGTTTGGTCGGCCATCTTGGTTTAGTTGCCTTTTGGTGGAGTGCTCGCCAGCAAGGACCCTGATATGAACCACCAGAACGAGCTGAATATATGAACCCATGAGCCCCTGGTATGAACCTATTTTACAGACCCGGAAATCGTGGGTTGATTGGAATGCTTATGGATACCAAAGAACTCCCAGTGCCCGTTGTTTGCCTCTCGGGTCTTCAAAGCTTACACAGTCCCTATTTGTTGGAGACAGCTGCATCCAAATTTTGCCTCCGAACAGTTCCTGGAAAGATGCTTTTGATGCTGCCTTGGAGGATGCATTGGACAGGGTAACAATGTGTCACAAGTTGGACTCCAAGCGGTTGGTTTCATGTTGGGTTGCTTGCAACATGACCAATAAGGAGTCCCTAGTTTTGACGACATGCCCATTTAGCCCTTTTTTCCGAAGGGAACAACTGAACATCCCAGACAAGCAAGCCGCCAGTCCTTTAGATGACATCTTGTTCATTAGCTCTCCGGCTGCGAAGTCTTGGGGGAGCTTTGGGCCAGTTTGCAAGAATTCCGCGGACTCCGTCCGATTTTTGTTGGGCGAGCTGAGTCAGGTCATCCTCTTTGCGATTCGGGTAAGACGAGCAGCACCGGGCAGTGGGCTCCACGCTAAACGTTGGGGAGGGAGGGACAGAGGCCAACTTAGCGAAACCGCCCGTTCAAAAACAATGCCGGAGAATCCGATCCTTACCAGGATCTTTTTGCAAGCCCCAAACCCACCCTACTGAAAAATCCTCATCTCTAAACTAGATTTTCATCGGAAGCTATCTGACGAGCTTTGTCTCCGACTGAGCCTCAGGGCTTTGTCTGCCGGCCCTGCTCGGACCCACAGTGCCCCAGCTGTGACCTGCGTGGCCCTGGCCACTGCGACATGGAGGAGGCATGGTGGGGGTCAAGGGTTTATAAGTTCTTTGTTTGCGGGTGTCGTTTGGCTCTGTTTTGCGTTGTTGTGCCTGGTTTGGTTCTTTTTTTGGTTTGGGTTCGTTTGATTTGCTTTGTCGTCTGTTCCGCTTGTTTTTTTTTGTTTTTGTTTGGTTTTGTTGTGTTTGGATTGAGTATTTGTTTGATTTATGTTCTTTTTTTCCCGGTGTGGTTTTGTTTGATTTGCATTGTTGTTTGTTTTGCTTTGCGTTTTGTCTTCTCTGTTTTGCCGCGTCTGTTGTTTTCTTGTTTTTTTTTGTAGTTTGGCCTGGTTTCGCTCGTTGTGCTATGTTTGTTTGTTTGTTTGTTTGTTTGTTTGTTTGTTTGTTTGTTTGTTTGTTTGTTTGTTTGTTTGTTTGTTTGTTTGTTTGTTTGTTTGTTTGTTTGTTTGTTTGTTTGTTTGTTTGTTTGTTTGTTTGTTTGTTTGTTTGTTTGTTTGTTTGTTTGTTTGTTTGTTTGTTTGTTTGTTTGTTTGTTTGTTTGTTTGTTTGTTTGTTTGTTTGTTTGTTTGTTTGTTTGTTTGTTTGTTTGTTTGTTTGTTTGTTTGTTTGTTTGTTTGTTTGTTTGTTTGTTTGTTTGTTTGTTTGTTTGTTTGTTTGTTTGTTTGTTTGTTTGTTTGTTTGTTTGTTTGTTTGTTTGTTTGTTTGTTTGTTTGTTTGTTTGTTTGTTTGTTTGTTTGTTTGTTTGTTTGTTTGTTTGTTTGTTTGTTTGTTTGTTTGTTTGTTTGTTTGTGTGTTGCTGTGTTGCTGTGTTGCTGTGTTGCTGTGTTGCTGTGTTGCTGTGTTGGTGTGGGTGTGTGTCTGTGTGTGTGTGTGTGTCTGTGTGTGTGTGTGTTTGTGTGTTTGCTTTGTTTAATTTTGTTTATTTGCTTTCTTGCTTTCTTGCTTTCTTGCTTTCTTGCTTTCTTGCTTTCTTTCTTTCTTTCTGGCTTGCTTGCTTGCTTGCTTGCTTGCTTGCTTGCTTGCTTGCTTGCTTGCTTGCTTGCTTGCTTGCTTGCTTGCCTTTTGTCTCATTTAGATTTAGTCTGGTTTGTTTGGATGAGTTTGGATCGAGTCTTAATTTGTTTTGTTTGTTCCCCAGATAGCTGAAAGCTATAGGGGTTCTAACTTCTAATAAGGTGGGAGAAAGTGATTTGCGAGATTGACGGCTGGGTGCTAGAGGGCGTGCAGTTGGGGTGCCGCAGATGCTGTTAGGGTGTGCTGTTTGGGGAGCTGTGACGGTGCGGGCACATTTTTACAAATTGATGTCAGGCTGAGAGCGTGCAGTTTTGGCGTGTTGTTTGTTTGGGGTGTTTTTTGAGGTGCTGGTGACGGTGCGGGAGATGGCCGGGTGCTAGGCATGCATGCAGGTGACGGTGCGGGCGCAGTTTTGCAAGATTGAACGTAGGGTGGTATGGCGTGCAGTTTGGGGTGCTGGTGCAGGTGCTGTTTTGGGAACCTGTTTGGGGCTGTTTGAGGTTCTCCCGCCCGGGTGCGGCCCATTGTTATGAGATTAGTGGCAGTGCTGTTCGGGACGACGGTGCGGGCATTGACAGCAGGGTGCTAGGGGGCATGCATGTTGGGGTGCTGGTGCAGGTGTTTTGGGGTGCTGGGAAATTTCTATCTGGGGTCTATGCTGGTGTATAATTTTGTTTGCTTTGTCTTTTTGGTTTGATTTCTTTTGACTTGCTTTGTTGCTTGTTTTGCTTTGCGTGGTTTTGCTTTGTTTAGAGTTGTTGTGTTTGCATTGAGTCGAGCTTAGATTCAAATTTTGTTCCCAGATAGCTGACAACTATACAGAGGTTTTTTCCCCAGATAGCTGAAAGCTATAGGGGTTCTAACTTCTAATAAGGTGGGAGAAAGTGATTTGCGAGATTGACGGCTGGGTGCTAGAGGGCGTGCAGTTGGGGTGCCGCAGATGCTGTTAGGGTGTGCTGTTTGGGGAGCTGTGACGGTGCGGGCACATTTTTACAAATTGATGTCAGGCTGAGAGCGTGCAGTTTTGGCGTGTTGTTTGTTTGGGGTGTTTTTTGAGGTGCTGGTGACGGTGCGGGAGATGGCCGGGTGCTAGGCATGCATGCAGGTGACGGTGCGGGCGCAGTTTTGCAAGATTGAACGTAGGGTGGTATGGCGTGCAGTTTGGGGTGCTGGTGCAGGTGCTGTTTTGGGAACCTGTTTGGGGCTGTTTGAGGTTCTCCCGCCCGGGTGCGGCCCATTGTTATGAGATTAGTGGCAGTGCTGTTCGGGACGACGGTGCGGGCATTGACAGCAGGGTGCTAGGGGGCATGCATGTTGGGGTGCTGGTGCAGGTGTTTTGGGGTGCTGGGAAATTTCTATCTGGGGTCTATGCTGGTGTATAATTTCTTCTAATACAGAGGGGAAATGGATTTCTGACGGCAGGGTGCTAGGGGGCATGCAGTTTGGGGTGCTGTTTGGGGTGTGGTAGCGGTGTGGGCGCATTTTTTGCGAGATTGACGGCCGGGTGCTAGGGCACGCAGTTTGGGGTGCTGGTGCAGGTGCTGTCGGAGGTGCTGATGACGATGCGGGCGTTTTTGCCGGGTGCTAGGGGGCATGCTGCAGTTTGGGGTGCTGGTGAAGGTGCTGCTGTGGGGTGCTGCTTGGGGTAGCTGTCGTTGACGGTGGGCGCATTTCACAAGAATGACGGCAGGTTGCAAGGGGGCCATGCAGTTTAGGGTGCTGGTACAGGTGCTGTTTTGGGGCACTTTGAGACATTTTGTCGAGATTAAGTTGAATAATCACGACCCCTTGACCGCCAAAGAGGTACCCCAGAAGGGTGTGCATGCATGTGATGCTAGAGGCCCCGTTGATCGCACGTCAAGACATGTCGAATGCCAATGCGCATTTGGCTCAAGTGAAATATCCAGGTCAAACACAGGGTTTGCGCTCGCCTACCGGACTGGGGTTAATAAGGGTCCCGGTTTCTGGTTCGCTGTGTTTCTTGCCCTGTTGAGTGGTTATCAGCCGTAACTGCTTTTTGGGATTAGGCCCCCTCAGTCCGGTAGTCAGCGCACTTCGTGCATGGACCCGGCTCCGGCCTTTTCGGCCCGAGGACACAGGGGCGGGTGGGTTTATCGTCGAAAGCTTTACTACGAAGCTTTCGACGAGCTCACCCGTTGGGCCTGGCGGGAGTTCCAGGTTGGGGTGGCAAGAGTCCCCTGGGAGGAAGCTTCGGACTTGCATCGGAGCTCCCTCCTGGCGTGGCAGGCCGATTTCTCCGACGAGAGCTATCGGCACTTGCGGGACACCTACCCCGACCTCTACGACGCCGTCATTGCCCGAGGCCGCCACTACTACAACGGGCACAGGCCACAGCTCAAGGCGCGGCGAGGCAGGCTACCGCACCAGCTCAGCCACAGCAACCAAGCACCCCATCAAGTCCATCCTCCACAACAACTGTGTCCACAATCAAGGCTGCAGCTCCAAGCGCAGCGGTGACACAGACAGCAGCAGGGCCGGGAGATCAGGCTGCAGCTCCAAGCGCAGCGGTTCCATCAAGAACTTCAACTGAGAGCCCGTCCCGTCCTTCCTCCTATCCACCTGCAACTGCGGGTAGGGGAAGGTATCATCGCGGAGGAAGAGGACACCGCCGGCAAGGCATCAGCCTTCCCTTGCACCGGCACAGAAGGCGTCACCCCGACGCCCAAGATCCAGAACTCCCCTCAGGGGTGCAGCTCGAAGCGCAGCCAGGAGCTCCAGCTCTTCGACACCTCCGGCCCGTGCATCCCTGAGCAGCCGGCCGCTGATCCTTGCGCCCACACGTCGGGCGCCGCATCCACCACCCTCGGACGACCCGTACGACCTGCCAGACTTTTACTGGTATCGTCCACCGAGGGCGGAGTCCTCATCCAACCCTCCCCAAGGGCACGGGAGGGCCGAACACTACGACCTGAGCTCATCACCACCTCCAGAAAGGTCTGCGCGCGCCGTGTACTCAGGTCTTGCGGCCTTCAACCCGGACAGGGTGTACGAAGCTGAGCAGGTAAGCGTCAAGCGGCCTGCACCTGCCGGGCGCGACTCATCCACAGCACCCGCAACAAAGACCGCTCGGGTAGTTTTTGCCAAGCGGGAGAGCAAGGTCAAGGCGCCCCCACAAAGCGTACTCGACCAGGCAGCTGCGGATCGCGCTGCGTCGAAGGCCATACCCCCACCACCGCTGAGAGCACCACCAGCACCCCGCAGCACCAGTGCCAAGGGCTGCAGCTCAACGCGCAGCATCGGTCCCAAGATCGATCAGTGGGGTAAAACGGCCTGAGACGCCGCCCAAAGCCTACAAGCGGGCACCACCCTCACCGCCACCACAGGTGAGGTTCAAGTCGCCGCCGGCGCCCAAGGTTGCCGGTCAAGCAGCCACCAATCGCTGCAGCCAAGGACCCTGTCCCCGGCGACGGGGCACAGTTCGGTGCGCCTCAGCAAGAGGCGAGGCAGCCCATCCTCGTCTGCCTGGACTGGCACAACACCCTCGACATTTCCGTCGAGCCTGACGGTGCGCCAAAGGAGTGGCTGCTGAAGGTACTGGCCAAGTTGTGCCGCAGCCACTACCCCATCCACTTCCGCATCGTCAGCTACTGCCAGGCCCGGGACACCCGGGAGAGCACCCTCCGATTTGCCACCCAGTTTTCCGAGGTGTGCAACAACGCCATTGACGGCTTGGGCGCACTCCCGTTCGGAGAAGTGGTCCTGACCTGGAAACGGGTCGGGCCGTCTGGCAAGGCTGCAGCATTAGCGCAGCTGGGGGCGTGCGCCATTGTGGACGACAACAACTCCGTCCTCAAGGAGTAGTGCCGCACCGCGTAGGCGTCGGTCGGCAAGACGCCAATCGAGCGCTCTACGACGCGCTGGACGAGCTCCACGAGTACCTCAACCAGCACCGACGCCTACTCCGCCCTGCCAGGGTACTCGACCAAAACGAGTATCTCGAGGAAGTTGGCCGCCGCCCTCACTCTGCAAGGGGCGGCCACGG